GCATTCAGACACTATTCCGCCCTCGGATAATAAAGATGGAAAAAGAAGAGGAATCGCCGACCTGCCCCAAAAAATGCGTGCAACATAAATGGAATTGAAGACAACGCCTGGCAATTAAAACGAGCACGCACACAACGAGTAATACGCACATTTCATTCGTTGCCCGATCGGCCAGCTATACATACACACACATATATGCATATGTATAAATGCACACGTGTAAATATGTAGCTGCATATATAAATTAACTGAAGTCTTGTAGGTGGAGTTCCCGACTTATGTAAGAATTTATTTTTTGTTGTATGCCGCTGCGAATGTTTTGTCCTTATTTCTTTGCACCGATGGCGGGGCAATGTGTGAGCGAGATGGCTAGCGTTGCGAACACGAACATGTTCGATGTGCCGAACAGCGCTCTCGGTTGCATACTGCAGGGCGCCAAAAAAGTTAACCGTGGCCAAGTCTGAGTCGAGTGCACTGCTGTTGTAAACAGAGCGCTCAAGAGTTTACAGAGAGCGAGAGAGAGCGACAGCGAGAGAGAGTGTGACTACAGAATGCCGGCCACGTGACACTGTTGCATTTCCCGTTGATTTTGTGTGTGTGTGTGCATGTGTGTGTGTGCTCTGGCTGATAAGCAGCAACGAAGCTATTAATCAAAACAAAATCAAAAGATGGCGCGCCTTTGTGTGCGTGTGTTGAGTGGCGTGAGAGAAACACGTGCCGTCCACTTAACAGCAGCGCCTTAACAGCGCACTGTTAACGTCGCCCAGTTGGCAACAAGCCGGGTGACCGCTGCTGCTATTGCTCCCATTGCTTCTATTTGCCTTTATATCTAATTATAGACCGGGACCCTGTAAATACGTGGAGCTTAGGTGTAATCATCAGCGCCCACCCGTGGCCCATTTGCATTTGAATTAATGAAAAGCGACACGGAGAGACATCGAGTATTGATTGCTAAAATGCTCCTTTAACCTTGAGAGTGGCACGTGTACTTAGTACTTGTGCATTGAGTAATTCAGTGCGGCAAACGCATTAAATCAATTGATTCAACTCAAGTCCCTAGGCTGCTGCTCCTGCTGCTCCTGCTACTCCTGCTACTCCTGCTGCTGCTGTGTTGCATTGTTGCTAAGCCGTTAAGCGACTGCTTCCTTTTGCCTGTTTGCCCAACACTTTTGCCACGCGCGCACGCAGCAATCGAAGACGTGCCACAGCTTTATATACATATATTTCTCTATATTTATATATCTATATATATATGTATTAGCACATAAAAATGTCCTTGTACTTTTATATAATAAACGATTCAATGCCGAAGCCGGCAGCAAACAGCCCGCCAGCCGCCTTAACAGAGCTCTGTTAATTACAGCACTGATAAGAGCCGGCATATTGCAAGGCGCCAGAGAGCGCAAACCACACAGAAAGAAAGAGAGAGAGAGAGCAAGCCTTACTGTTGCTGCTGCTGCTGCTGCTGCTGCTATGTAAAGTGCAACTGTAAAGTGCCCTGTAGTTGCGTGGCACTAAGCCAACACCAACGCCAGTGGCCGACATACATGTCTGTCTCTATGTATGCATGTACATATATATGTATGTGCGTATGTGGGCCAGAATGCGGGGCGCCGTTGTACGAACAACTTGCAACACGGCCGAGTGCCGACTGCGTTGCGCTGCGCTGCTCGGCGCTGTTGAGCTCTGCTGCTGTCGTCGTTGGTTTGCACAACGACAACTACAGCTACAACTACAACACATTTAGTTTGCTGGCTGCAGCTACACAACCCTTGATCAAGGCTCAACTTCGTGTTGAGCTCGTCTGCCATTATGTACATGCGACAACACACATGTAGATGTGCCCTGTTACCTATGTGTTGTTCGGTGCTGCCTGCTGCTGCTGCGGCTGCTACGACTGCTGCTGCAACAATCGCAGTTTGCACAAATGCCAACATTTAGTTGAACGCGGCTGTTCCTTCAGGAAGGACGCGCAGCAGTTGCCATACAGCCAAAGAAGTCAACCAAACATTTAGACAGCCAATTACTTGGCTTTCAGTGTGTCTTAACTTTTAAATCAAACTATTTTTTTTCTATTTTTTTTCGCTGTAACTGTTAGCCAAGTTAGCCAAGTGTTGTAATCAGAACTCAAGTAATTAGGCAACAGCTAACCACAGCTGAGACGTTAACAGAAGCCGGCGCTGTAAACTTTACAGCGCTCGTTACATAAATGCTACAGGCAGCGACTGCTCTAAGCACTTGAATTGACTCGTTAACTTAAGAAAGGCCCGCCAGCAGCATCTTGGTGGGACGGTCTAATTGGCTAATTGGCAACGCTAATAAAGCGTTGCATGCCACATTGCGCGGCAAGCGAATGCCATGCATCAAATCGCAGTTTGAGATACGCGAAAACGAAAGACAATTTGTCTCTCTGGCCCGATTTACTACTTTGACTTTAAGCTGTTCTTGCCTCTATTTTTTTTTCGTCTTGCTGCGCTATTGTGTGTAATTTTATTAGACTTTCGTGCTCATTACTTGAAAAGAAACTCTACTAACATCAAAAGCGAGTACCAAGTGGCTGAACTAGTTGTTGCTTCGTCGCAAAAAAAAAAAGAAAAAAACGAACAAGAACAAAGTGCATTCTATTTGATTATTAAAGTCAACAAGTTGCTGCAAAGTCTCATAGACAACAAACCAGGTGAGTCTCATATGACAAAGCAGCAGCAGCAGCAGCTGTTGCTCTTGCTGTTCTTTTACCTGTTCTTATCCTATTATTACATGCTGTGGCATTATGCTTAAGTGTTGATTATGCTTAGGATATTATCTGGTTTCTAAAGTGCTTGTGCTGTGGGAAAATGTTAAAAGGTGGAGCAAAATGTGCTTTGATTGAAAGCTAAATGAAGCTTGATTGTCAGTTGAGAAAGGCGTGTTATTAAACTTCATATCCATTTAATGATATTGTTAGAGCTGTCTTAAATTATAGTGAAACTAAATTATAATTGTGCTCTTGACTCATTGCAAATATTCATAATTAAATGTTGAACGTTTTAGAAATATTTATCGAGTTTTTATTTATTTAATTATTTTTTTTGCTTTGTAGTGATTATTTAAAATTTTAAGCTGAGTTATAGATTAAATTGCGAGTTTAACTAAACAGAAAGTTTTTAGTAAATAATATTTAAGGCTTACAAAATTTTAAAGAATTTTAAAGAATTTGTATTTAAGTGAAGATAGATCATTTTGAAAATGCCGAAGATTTTGTTTTAATTTTTTTTAAATTATTGATTAAACATTTTTGTAGGAAAAATATATTATATTTTTTCTTATATTTTTTTTTATTATTATTATTTTTTTATTATTATTATTTTTTTATTATTATTATTATTTTTTTATAACAGAAACAGATCGTAATATCATTTCATATTTGCCCATGTATTATATATATATATATAATAGATTATAATACATTGGCAAATATGAAATGATATAATGACATAATAAAATAAATGTTATTTAATTATTTCATTTATTTTTGTAGTCAAAGGATATCTAGCATTATCTACGCTTTATTTTGTATATTTTTTAATTTTCTAAGCTTAACATTTTAAATTATAAGCTTAAAAAAAAAATTAAAATTAAATACCTGCAATAAATATAGATTTGTCTTTTAAATATATTAAGTTAAACATTTTAAGTAAGGCTTACTACAGTTAAAAATACAATAAAATAAATTATAGTTAAAGTAATTTAGAGCCAATTTATAATTTAGATGAATGCGCTCTGATATGTAAATATAAACATAAATAAATATTAAATATTTGCAATAAATTGCACAAGATTGTGTCGCCCTTGGTTATCTTATTTATGTATAAATCATAGAGCAAATAAAATATTACAAAAATAATAAAGCTGTTAGCAGACAAACTAAAACTGAATAGCGTGTGCACAAATATTGTTGGTTATTTTACAAATATGTATATCTATATACATATATGAAATACGCAAAGTGTGTGCAATTAGTTTGCAACGTGGTTAAATAATCCAAACATTATTACAAGCGGTTCCCCTTTGTAAAGCTGCTGAAACTTTACAATCTGACGCCTTGGTTTGTTTACATGAATTCCAAATGCCTCAGTTGCAAAAGCAACAACAACAACAAGAATAACAATGAGTAGATTGTAAAAAAATTTTCCATATTTACACAAGACAATTTACACACTTGCCTATCGGAATGGCACAGGCAGCAGCAGACGCCGAGGCGTGGCAGAGGCAGGTAAGGGGAGAGGAGAGAGGCAGGAGAGCTTGGTAGAGCTGTCTGACTGCCTCAGTGAGTGAATGAGTGAATGAGTCGAGGTTATTTTGTAAATTGTGTGTAAGCCGAACTGCTGCCTGCTGAACATGCAAAAGTCCAACAAGTTAGCTAACGTGTGTGTGTGTGTGTGTGTGTGGCATGTGGCATGAATGAATATGTGGCAAGTGGAAAAACGGGCAGCCAGGCTAAGGACAAGTGTCGGCAGCAAAGGCAATTGTTATTTTACTCAACTGCGGTTGCTATCTAGGTGTGTGTGTGTGTCGCAACAACAACAACAACAACTGCAGACGGAAGTAATTCGATTTTGTTGGCATGTTGATGATGAGCCTATGACATTCTTGTGCCATCCACGGACGGCCAGTCAAATAAACAGTCAAACAAACAAACTGTCTGCCACACACACATTCACAATTGTCACAGCTGTCAGAGTGTGGCTGGCTAAAAGGGCTTATGGGGCATGCAACAAGGCCGAGATGAGATCTGATTTCGGTGCACATTAATAACACACATTGCACACAGCACAATTAATACAATTATTTATGTACTTCCCGTGCCGAGAGCCAAAAGTTGACTGCAAAATGCATGGACTAAAATTTCGTATTATTATTAGAATTGTAATAATTTATTTACAACATTAAATGAAATTAATTGTAATTGGGCGACAAATTGTTGAACATTTTGCCTACTAAATTACATTAATTACACATTTTTATGAGCTCGAGTTGTTGTTGCTGTTGTTGTTCTTGAAATGCATTTAGAAGTGCATTCAGCTGCTGATCATTGCATTATTTATGGCATTAATTGCTGTCGGCTGAGTCTGAATTAGTTGGCTTTCACCATACAAATTTGTTTCTAATTTATGAAAAAGAAATACATATTTATATTTATAAATGCATAAATTACACTTTAATTTGGTGTGCCTAAATTTTAACTTGATTTATATTAATTTTTCGAAGACTATAAATTTGTGCATTATTGAGGTAAATCATAAATATAAATATTACGTCATCTCTTCAAAACCCTTAGCTAAATTAATATGTAAGAATGCTCAACTAGAACATACCCATTTTCAATGGGCACAAAAAATACAAAAAAAAATTTTATAGCATTTTCGCACTTTTGTTTGACAAAAAATTTTGTTTTATCAGAGATCAAATGAATTATTTCCATACCCTAAGAAATAATTCATTTGATTATTTCCATGCCCTAAGAAATAATTCATTTGATCTCTGATAAAACAAAATTATTTGTCAAACATAAGTGTGAAAATGCTATAAAATAATATTTTGTAGTAAAAATATATATATATATATTTGCTATAATAAAAATATTTTATAGTAAAAATTGATGTTTTATAATTTTTTTTTAATTTTTTGCTCTTAATTAAAAAAAAAAAAAAATCAGAAAATATATTTTGAAAAATATATACAATACATTTTGCTCAAATTTCTAACCAATTGGTTGTGTGATTGCCGGCAAAGATCAGTTCAATCTCTTACAATTTAAATGATTGCAAATATATAAACATATATCTAAAATTGTACTTTATTTAATTAGCAAGTTGTTTTTTTTTTTTATTAGTTAGGAAATTTGCAGGACTTTATAAAAAACATTTTTTGCAAGAACTAGAAGCAATATATTCTGAGATATTGGCAACTAAACTAGATTAGAAAAGCGATATGTATGAAGAAAGCTAGTCTGTTTTCTTATCGAATTCACTGCACTAAGAGCTTTAAAAATAAAAGTGGACTTGGTAAAAAAAGTAAAAAATATATATATAAAAAAATAAAACGAAGTCCACTCAATTGGCCACTGCAAAAACAATTAGCTAAGCATTTTGTCAAACTTCAGCTTAACTCCAACTGCAACCTCAACACAAATGTAACACCAAAATTTCTAGCATACAACTCTACGCACTGAAAACTAATTATGAGAAGCAACCGCAAATTGTTAAATGAATTGCAAGACGAAAATGTTCGAAAATGTGCCAAAAATTGGGCATTTTACATGCGGTCCATCCACGTCGACAGCTTGCCAATTAGACTGGACAAAAATGTGTCCAAGTCTGCCTAATTGCTTCAGTTTAAAAATGCATGACAAGTACTTTCAGGTCAAGGCGCTTAAAAATGCTCAAAGTAATAAAATCTAACTCGAGGAAACATTGCCTCAAATGTGTCTTTTGATTATCCAACTGGACGTGTGAGTGTGTGTGTGTGTGTGTGTGTGATATTTTTATTAGGCCTGCGGTAAATGGTTTTTTGCCAACGATGAACAACTGAACATCAATATTTAATTTCATTACAAACCACAAAATGCCAAAAGAGCATCAACAATGACAAAAACGTAATAAATAATTCCCATCAAATATCTTTCAATATGGAGATGTTCATTTGAATATGCCTTTGAGGCGGTTCAAATTGAAGTCCATTAAGGTTAGCCTGAAGGACAGCTCTCTCACTCACACCATCTCGCTCTCTCTCTCTCTGTCTCTCTGTCTGTTTGCTGTTTACACCTAGCTGTAAACCAAGTTGAAAACAATTTGTTGTTCATATATCTGGCTTTAAGCTGCAGCCCAGAGCTGAGGCACGCCCAGTCGCCCACACACACACCCACACTCTATGCGAACTGCAGCTGCCGGCTGCATGTCCTTGTTATCCTGCCTGGCTGCCCTTCAGCTGGACGCTTGAGTGTCTGCTTAAAATGATAACGTTGAGTGTCCCACACAGAAGACAAATGTGTGCCATTCAGGCGTGAAAATATTCCACTATAAATACACATAAAGCGTTAAATCACACTTTAAGCTGTGTGTAATACTCTCACTCCTTCTCACTCTCACTCTCACATACACACTCTCTCTCTCTCTCTCTCTCTCTCTGTCTGTCTCTCTCCATCGAACTGTGAGCATTTCTTTATTTATAGATTTCTCGCAGCTGTAAAAGAGAAAAGTTGGCTGCTAACCAGACGCTAAATAGCGCGAAAATCTAATTATGAATAGCTTAAGGTCCAAGCCAAGTTTTTTCTAATAGAAAGAAGATATTTGCCGTCACAAAAAATTAAAGCTTTAAGCGACTAAAATCAATGAGAACTAAAGCTGGGCAGAGTTTTTATTAGAAAAATTGTGGAACTGCTAAGATTAATGATGTCCTGGAAAGTCGAACTTTTCATGTTTTGTTTATAAATCATTTGGCAGCATTTAAACTATATTTTGCCCTTCATAAAAACAATTTTTTAAGTATTTAGGACATAAAGACTTTGTCTGAAGAGCAGTAGACTTCAAAAAGCTGCTGAGATGTATATATATTTTAATGGAAAGAGTAAGATTTATATAGTTATTTCCTTTTCACTTCTACAATAATCCGCAATAATTGAAAATATATGTTTTTTTT